AGAGTGAAAGAGAGACAGACAGACAGACAGACAGGAAGACAAACAGACAGACAGACAGACATACATACAGACAGATAGACAGAGGGATGAGTATGCCTAACTCACCAACGTTTTCCACCTCAGACCGGCCTATCCGGTGGTACCTATTGTGACGTCATTACTGGCAACCTGGAGAACGGCAAGTGTACTGGTGGGTCAGTGACGGTCGGTGGAGACGGAAAGGCCAGAATCCACATCAGTCACAGCAGCCGCGACCCCATGCTCGCCCTACACGTTGGTGAGTTACAAGAACCGTTGTAGTTGTTGGTGGTCGTGATGTTGTCGTGGTTGTTGTTGTTGTTGTTGTTGTTGTTGTTGTTGTTGTCGTTGTTGTTGTTGTTGTTGTTGGGTGTGTGAGTGGTAGCCTATCCGTTTGAAATGTTTGGAGCCCCGAAGAGCTGTTGTTGTTGTGGTGGTGCAGTTGTTGTTGTTGTCATTTTGTTGTTGTTGTTGTTGTTGTTGTTGTTGTTGTTGTTGTTGTTGTTGTTGTCACCTCCTCTTTGTCTCCTCCCTCCATCTCCTCACACTTCTACTTTTCTTCTTCCTCCTCTTTTTCCTCTTCCTCTTTGTCATTCCTCTCTTCTTTTTCCTCCTCTTTCTCCTCGTCATTTCTTTCCATTCTTCTTCCATCTCTTTCTCCTCTTTCTTCTTCTCTTCTTCATCTTACCCTTTTTCTTTTCTTCCTTTTTCTATTCCACTTCTTCCTATCCTTTTCCTTCGTCACCTTTATTTTCTTTTCATCCCCAAAGACCTGCCTCCTCCTCCTCCTCCTCCTCCTCCTCCTCCGTCTCCATCTTCTACCCCTCCCCCTCTTCCTCTTTCTCTACCCCCCCTACATCTCTCCACCTCTATCCTTTTCTCCTCCTCTCTCCTTCTTAAAACCATCATCTCACTCCTTCTCCTCCTCTTTCACACCTCCTTCTCCATCTCCCTCCTCTTTCTACTACTCCTTCTAACGAGGGTTGTGCATTTTTCTCTCCCTAGGTGCCAAAGTGGGATCAACCGAGAAAAGACACTGAGGACACATTGAAGGGAAATCGTTTTTTGTCCTCATTTTACATCAGATTCCTTCTTTGTATGACACATTTGTGTCTCATGTCTGATAAGTAGTTGAGATTTATTGTTCTTTGATTCTCTGACTTCAAATTGGACTGTGTAAAATAAATTGTTCATTATAAGAATACTCGTGTTGTCTTTTGATGCATATTGTTCACACTTCCTTGTTTGTGTCTTATTTTCTTGTTTGAGTAAGAGTTATACGGCACTTGCCTCACGATTAGGTCATATACATGCAGCAAATTAAAAGTGTTACAAGAGAGTAACAAACACAAAAAGAAGGAGGAGAGATCAGGACCAGGGGCGAAGGCTGACTTGTTTGACAGGGTAATCAAAGTGACATGGGACCAGATAGGGCCTGGATATATCACACTCACACAAGTCACAAGAATCTTACTTACTGTAGGCGGCAACTAAACTCTCAGTTGTGAATGAAAACAAATCCTGAATTCATGTTGTATGCATATTCAACCGCTAAAATAATCGGGAAAGTATTTCATTAAATATTCATTCTAACTAACCTTAAACTTAACTTTAGATTTGAATACACGAACACCAAGGAAAAAACCAGAGATGTCATTAAGTATTTAATTCCAACAAACATTAAATCTATCTTAAGATGTGAATACACAAACACAAAGCAAAGAGGCAGAGATGTCAGTAATACATGTCTTTTTTTTGGTTGGAAACACCAGTGAGTCTAAACTCTTTGGTAGAGCATGCCAATTATAATTTTTTTATTTCACATTTGGCTGTTTTTGTCTAGCTTTTCGCGGCCAGGAGCCGGTGTCATAATCGAAGTCATGATCTGATTATAGGACGTTAAAAAGTCGAGAAAAAAAACAAACAAGCACTCGCAGCAGTCAATATATGATTAGGAGTTAGTTCCCCTCACATCTGTGAGGTAGACTCGACCAGTGTAATAGTTAGCTTACATAATCAGCGCGTGTGGTTGCTTATAACCGTGGCTCGAAAGATGTGAACAGGGTATATGTGGCAATGAAACAGTTTTGACTTCTATGCACATGTTCCCTTCGACTCTATTGGTAGACTCTTCTAGTCTCACTTTAAGCTTACTTAATCAAAGCTTGTGACTGCTTATGGAGTGGCCAGATAGGGGCGAGCAGGCTTTTTCTGTGGCAATGAAACGGTTTTGAAGGTTAGGCATAGTCTATTGTTCATTGGTGATTATGAACGTCTTTTTACATTTAATTTATGAGGTTTACGTCTTTGGGTGAGTTTGACTGCGACAATGTTTCAAATAGAGCTTTGCCACTGATCAGGACAATAAATACTTGAAAACAAAGAAGGAGCAAACCACACCAGAGCACCCGCCAACCACCCACATGTCTTTTTTCAAAATGTGTCAAACTTTTCTTTTCCAGAATTGGTTTAATTTGCCGAAAGAAAAGCCACAATCATCTTAATCCGTATTTCTTCTTTTCGTTTTTATATAAAGAGGTATTCTGCTCTACAAATAAAGTACAAGAATTTCTAACACCCAATCCGGTAGATCCTGAGCTTAGATAGATCCATACTCTTACATTTCGTTGGAAAGTTGTCATGTCCAAATGTCCCACGATCAAAAAGTGAGATTTTTCAGCCGTTGGAAAGATGCTGTTTCAAATCTTTTACAAATCATATCTACATACGGCTAAGTATCTTTTTCTGCTTAATTTTTCAATATCATCATCATTACCTTTCTCAACCTGGATCAGGATATAGGCCACGAACTAACACCTGCCGAATATTTAAATTTCCATCAAATAAGTCACGCGTACAAGCACCACAGATTAAGAAATTGCAATTATTCCCCCCCCCCCCCCCACACACACACAAAAATTCATATGCGCACACCGGTTTGGTGCACAAGTCAGAAACAAAAACAAAACGAGACCTGTTGATTGTATCATGAGGCGGTGGAATCAGGCTCTCGTCAAATTTTGGGCATGTACAGTTATTGGTATCATCTTAAAGCATGTTCATTTGTCTTGCATCGGATGAAAAAAATACCCATCTATCTTAAATAGAAGTCGAGATATCTCCAATTGGAGAAGGTGGGAGTCACCTGGTTTCCGAGGTAAAATATTTCGAGAAAATGGCCTCCAAATTTCCACAGCTTGAGAGTCATTGGGAAAAGAAAGTTTTTTGTGCCTTTAATTAGGTTTTTCAGTACAATACATACATAAATATGTTTATAAATACACTTAAAATGTGTTGAGCCAAAATACCAATATTCGATAAAAATTCACAAACCATTGATAATAATAATAATAATAATAATAATAATAGTAATAATAATAATAATAATAATAATAATAATAATAATAATAGTAATAATAATAATAATAATAATAATAACTTTTCTGTCATAATAACAATATTAATAAAGTTCTATTTTTGCCACCACATGCAAAAGATGTGAGTTTTATTCGAGATTACAGACGGTTTTTTAACCCTGTAGTTTTGTTGGGTTTTGGGTTGTTGTTTTTTTGTCTTCTGAGATGTTGCATCTCTCTCCGACGGGGTTGGCGTTGAGAGGCAATTTCAAAGAGGTCTGCCTCCTTATTGATCTAAATTGTGTTGATAGGGGAGTAAAACACTTACAACTATTTCTTTTAAACAAGACAGTTTTCGGTGTGAAAACTGACAAACTCAGACTGTTTTGTGGTGTTGTTTTTAATGGGGAAGAACTTTTGTTTCAGAAATAAATTAAGATGCAGAAACAGTAATGTCACCATCTATAGTCCAGGAAAAAAGAAGACAACGAAAGGCATTCTTTTAACTTATTACGTCTGATGCGGTTTGCTCCTTCTTTCCTATCAAACATCTATTGTCCTATTTTCTTCTCCTCCTCATATGACCTTATGCAGTTGCGAGCGCCGTAACCCCCCCCCCCCCCCGAAAAAATAAACAAAAAACAACAAGATTGTTTGTGATCTAAAAAGCCAGATACTTATACGGTCGTAATTCTGAGACATTCAAATTTTGTTGGCAAATCGTTTAATGTTGGTCGTTTCAAACTCACGGTTGATCTGTATGCTTCCGTGGAAGCTGATAATGTTTCTGAGTGTTCTCAGGGGGTCTTCTGGTGTAATAATAGTTGTAAAGCGCATAGAGCATGCTATTGAGCATTGATATGCGTTATATAACTGCAATTATTATTATTATGATGATGATTATTATTATTATCATTATTATTATTATTATTATTATCATTATTATTATTATTATTATTATTATTATTATTATTATTATTATTATTATTATTATTATTATTATTATTATTATTATTGTTATCACAGTTTTTTTCTGGTTTGTGTTTGTGTAGTTGTAGCAACCAACAAAACGTTATGTTTTACAACTTGGTTTTGCAATTGTACAAGCCACTTTGTACTGACTAGACTTTAATCAAGCGTGTTTCTGATTTCAGAAGCCAGATACAGTCGTAATTCTGAGACACTCAAATTCCCTTTGTAAGTCGTTATGTTGGGCATTTAATGTTGGTCGTTACCTTCTAAGTGTTGATCAAATATTGTTTTGCTTTGCATGCATACGTGTAGTTCTAACGACCAACAATTTTTTTTGGTTTTACAACCTGGTGTTGCAATTTTACAAACAACTTGGTACTGACTAGATTGTAACCAAGCAAGCGTTTTTTAAACTCTGATAAGCCAGATATAGTCATAATTCTTAGACACCCGTACTTCCCTTTAAATTTTGTTGTTGGTGGTTACTATGTGGGTCGTTCCATTCAAAGTGTTGAGCATAATATTTTTGATTTTGTGAATATGTATCTGTCACAATCGACAAATTGTTTTTTCTTTTACAACCTGGATCTGCAATTTTACAACAAATTTCTACTGACTAGAACCTAGACAAGCATGTTCCTGATCTAAAAAGCCAGATACCAGCTAGTCGTAATTTTCAGACACCAAGATGTCCTCTCTAAGTCTTCTTTTTGTCTGTACTGTGTTTGTCGCCACATTCTCTGTATTGACCATATTATATTTGGTTTATGTATGTATACTTGGAACAACCAACAAAACCTTTCGTTTGACAACCTGGCTCTGCAATTTTACAAGCAATTTTGTACTGAATAGATTGTAGGAAAGCGTGTTTGTGATCTGAGAAGCCAGATGCAGTGGGAATTCTTAGATGTCCAACTTTCCTTTGTAAGGTGATTTTATGGTATGACCGTATTTATATCACACTGGGTTGTTTGGGGTTGTTGTTGTTGTTTGTTTGTTTTTTTCATTGTATCCGAGTGCGCACCTCGTCTGCTGAATATATATTTGAAAATTGAAGCAGTGTAAGTGCTTTACACCAGGACGAATTAAGAAACTTTGATTGAATGTCGATTTGTTTGAGAAAGGATAGAGGGGGGGGGGGGCGGTCAGTTTCAGTACTGTTTGATGCCTCATTGGACGCTACACAGGCGTAAAAATACCACCAAGCCCTAATTGAATAGAGTCCAGGCTTGGGTGAGATTATATTATCTATTATCTATTTGTGGTGGCCGAATTTTGCTATTCAAAAGGCTTTTTAATGGCTGCATCGATCGACATGCTGTTTTCGCCAAAAGATTCTTTAAAATATTCTCCAGATCATGGCTTTTTCAGTTTTGAGACCGTTTTGCTACAAAGAGCTAAATTTCTTTATTTCGTTGATCGCTTTGGTAGGCCGACGCTTCTGTCTCTGTAATTTTAGAAAATCCGGTGCAGAAGGGATATTTTGCGAGGCGCATTTTTGTTTTGAGCGTATAGATCTAGATCTAGACCTTCTAATTTTTTTTTATTGTTCCATTCCAGTAGAGTGTAAACATAGTAGGCCAATGACTTTCAGTTGATGTTAATGCACCGATCATTCCTTTCATTGAAAGGGAGCCCAGCTACTAATCTTTAATACAACAGTGCCATTTCGTTCACAGTGAGTACACAAATAAAACTGCAAGAGAAAGTCCATTTAATTCGGTAAAACCTTTACTATAGCAACACAGACTGTAATACAAAAGTCTAGAGGGCAAAAAGTTTCTTGCTTTAGCAACGATTTAACATAATGTCCGGAAACACGCGAAGATTAAGTACACAGACACATAACTAAAAAAGCAAAAGCCGAAGGGTTT